ATTTATCTTAAATTAAGAAAATTACCATAATTAAGGTCCTGCTTTAATAACTGCATAACCTCCCCTTGATGTTTACCTTTTTGAGTAATATATAGTACAAGTAGATTGTTTCTTTACCTAAAATGTACTATCTTAATTGTTTATCGTTGTGCATGGTGTTTCTATATTCATATATACTCAATTGCGCATTAACATTTTCCTTATGTCAGAGTGTCTTAAGCTGACAGATGAGAACATCTATCTTTCTGATTTAGACGCTTTAATTATTTGTTGTTGGTTTGTTTCTACCTTTTATGACAAGTGACTTCTTTACACCTATGTTGTAGGTCAAAAATTGATTTCACTTTTGTTTGTAAAGAAATGGCGGCAGTTGTATATAAATATTTACTTCAACAGTGTTTTTTCACCTTATATGACTGAGGTCTATAAAAGGCCTCTTCCTAATGAAAACTTTCTTTAAAATCATACAGTTTTCCCAAAAATCTGAACTTACACCAGCTATTTGCAATTTCAGCAATATTTTTATATTAAGTAAGAAAAAGCCCTTTACATGTCACATTTTTTCTGTGTATAAGGCTCACATTTTTTTCTGTGTAAGGAAGGAATAATTACAATTATCTTGTATATATACATGTTTTACCTGCCAGTAATACATTGTAGTAAGTAAAAAATTACTGCGTAAAAGAAGAACCTGACGACACATACCGTAAATGTTAATTCATACATTCTTCACTTTATACCAAAAGGTATAAAAGTCAAGAAAATAATGATATGTTAACCCTAGCGAAAAAATTACAAACCCAAACAATGTGACCCACTATCTAAAACAAAACCTTAAGGAATTAATATTATCCAGTTTTTAAAGAGCAAATCGGCATTACATAATAGCATGTTTCATTACAATTTCCATTTCTTCATGTACATGTTCATTAAATTTCTTCTAATCCTCATTTAAACATAGTAAAATATTCAACTGTCATAAAGATGAGAGTAATTACAGTCTCCTTATACATTAATTACAGTTCATGAATAACTTGTCACAAAATGTACAAGTATGCACTTATAATGATGAAGCTTTCTCTTTTCATGAACATTTATGTAGTTTCATTTATGTACATGAAGTTTCATGGCTAGGCTAACAAATTGTGTCTTTATAAATATTTTTAATCTTTTGCACTGTTAAAACATAACCAAGTTCATTTCATAAACTTTATTAACATATTCCAACTGCTTTTTGTAACCCTTTCAGGGGAATAAAACTTGGGACCATGGAGAGTGGAAAATTGTGTTGCAAAGGGAAAAAGGAGAAATATACAAACAGATTTAAATAGTTTTTGTTGTTATTTTTCATGTTAATTGTCATGCAATACCATTATCTTTTCTAACTTCATAGCCCCCATCTTTGTCCCACATAATTATAAAATAGATTTAAAAAAAAATATTTTGTTTTTGCTTTGTTTTGTTTTTTGATATTTTTTTTTGTTTTTTTCAGAATTATGGGAAAAAATTAGTTTAAGGGGCTAAATTTTTTGGGAAACCAAAATTTGGAAACAAAAAACACTTTTTTCCCAAGAATAAAACTTGAGAAAGTTTAAGGGGTTTTAACCAATGGGGATTCTCTGCCTATACTTAATTGTAAATATCGTCAAAGAAATTAAGGGAAAAAAGAAAATTTTTTAAACCCAAAATTTTGTTTTTTAACATAAATTAAATTAATAGGCTACAAAAAACATTACAAGGTGATTAAGGGAAAGGAAAAATTTTTCCCAATTTTTTCTCTGTTGGAATAAAAACATTGTTTAAAGTTAAAATTTTTGAACAAAATATAAACACTGGACAAAACTTTTAAAGTTTTTTAAACATCTTAAAAATATTCCTTTTATTAATTATAATGTCACAATGTAAGGTAACCTAAGGTTTAATTGTAGTATATATTTATCCAACTGTGAAAACTGCATTTTCATCAGGTGAGAAAACTCATGGATATTGCGAGTTTTGGTTATAGCAATGCCCCGACATTACTATTTAGTAATGAATTTTAAGCCATTTTACCATTGGAAAAAAAGTTAAAAGCATAATAATTTTATTAGAATAATTCCTATCAATATAACATTTATTATCACCTAAAGTGGCTGACTGGTAATGCAAGGTGAACTGGTGGTTTAAGCATCAATGTTTCAACCCGGGGATCAGGGGTTCAAGCCTTACTGGGTTAACAACCCTCCTATAAAACCAGTACTTGTTAGATTTCAATTATTATTTGATGAGTATTTTGTCACTTTAGTGAAATAATGAGTTAACTCCTTAATATATATTTCAATAAGAGTTAATCGGTTACTGCATTAAGATGACAGTATTATTCACATTCTGCCGACAAAAATTCAAAATCAATATCAAAAAGTGTACTTTAATGCTTAAAATGGGGGAACTTTATCTCATAACAAAAAGGACCAAAATTTAACTAGTAAAATTGTTTTGGGGTGGCATGAATCATTTTTTTTTAAAAACCCCTTAACTGAGATTTAAAAAAATTAGATACTTATAAAGGGTTAATTATTTTTTTAATTTTATGCGGGCCTTATTATGACGATTTAATTTTTTCAAAATTTAAAAAATTTGGGTTACATAAAAATTCAGATTCAAAAAAAATTACATAAATCCCAAAAAGGGTTAAACGTTGTTAAAAAATTTTACATAAAAGTTACACGAAAGATGTTGAAAATAAAAAAAAAATCTTTTTTTTAAAACAATTTAAAGGATTTTAAAAGAGCACATTATCAATTCTTTAATTTTTGCTGTGTTTAAGAGCGAAACTACGGATAATGAATTTCGAAAGCTTGTTAAAATAAAACTTTAAAATTAAAAGATATTCTTGTTTAACCTTTACCCTGTTGCTGTTTGTTTTTGTTTTTTTCTGCTTTTTGTTGTTGTTTTTGGGGGCCCAAATCATGTTTTTCACATTTTTTAAATTTTAATTTTAAAGTTGAAAAACATTTCCAAAAATCAATATTTTTAAAAATTAACAAAAAAAATTTCAAAACTTCACAGATATGTACTTTCTAGTTTGTACTAAAATTTTTTAAAGAAAAAAAGGTTTTTTTTTTAAATCGAACTAGAAATTCGAAGCCCTTTGGGTTTCTGGAGTTTATTTTCAATCAGTTATTATTATATTTTTTGAATTGATTTGTTTTCTTTTTGGTTGAATTTTTAGTCCCACAAACACAGTATATGTCATATGCAATTTTCCAGCTTTACTAGTGGAGGGAGACCTTGAGTGCCCTTCTGTGCATTATTTCAGACACGAACTGGCACCCGAGTAGAACTACTGCCCTTCTGTATTTAGCTAGATGGATAGCTTCCTCACATGAAAGAATCTAAAGTCCCTGTCAGGATACAAACCAATAGCAGTGAACGGCAAGTGATTTGAAGTCAACGACCTAAACCACCAGGCCACGGATGCCACAAAAAAATTTAGTGTTACCACATTATAGGTAAAAAGGATAAACAGTTTCCTTTTGGACAGCATAACATCAGCTGATACAGCATCTTTCAGGGCTCTTGTTTGGTAAAATTGGGGGCAGAATATGGGCCCCAATACCCCATTAAATAGTGTGCTTTTTTTCCCCTAAAATTGAAAAAATTTCCCCTCTCTAAAATAATATTCAATGAGCCATAGATCAGGGATTACGTTTTTAAGTTGAATTTTGATACAAAATATCAAAGATGTATTTAATTCCATTTATTGTTGATAAATTTGCTTTCACTTGTTTTTAATGAACTAATTTTCTTCTGTTGAAATTCCCCCTTGAATGAAAAATATTTGAAAATCATGCAAAATCCCCCCCCCCCCCTTGCATGGACCCTGGCCCAAGTCTCAAAATGCTAATGAGAGCCCTGTCTTTAATGTAATTAGAAGCAGTATGTCATGTGAAACCAGTTTTGAAAAAAGCAAAAATTTAATTTAAAATGTTTCCCTAAACACTTAGTTCATAAAAAAAATTAACAAACATAAAAAATTGTAGAAAAATTTTAATTTTTGGTTTTAAAAAACCCGGCACAAAAATTTTTCTAGGGAAAAAGGGACAGGCTATTTTTTATTTGCCCCTTCAGTCAGGGACTTGCAAAAATACAGGAAAAGCAAGCCCATTTTTAAAGAGTACTGTACTTTTAAACTGACCAAATAAAATCATAATATTTAAAAAGCCCTAATTTTTATCAGTTTAAAAAGGTGATAAAAGAGAATAAAAATAAAGAATTGGTTTTTGGGTCCTTCGTAAAATTCATTACTAATTTTCTTAAATGCAAAAAAGAAACTCTTTAAAAATTTTTATCCTGAGAAATTTTTAAAATTTTGAAAGTATAGAATTTCTTTTAAATTCTTCTTAATGCATAACAAAAATGCTGAATTTTTGTTTTAAAATTTTTAAAATTTAATTTTAAACAATCACATTTATATCTTCAAATGGAATGTAGCTAAACATTACAAAATATTTTAATCCCCAAATAAAACACGATTTTATTTGTTTGAGCAGAAAAATATTTTCCCAATAATTTTTGGGGTTTTTTAAAAGATTAATGACATCAAAATTTTTTAAATTTTCCCTTTCACATTTAAAACTTTTGGGTCTATTTAAGTTTTTTAAAAACTACATTTGGCAATTTTTCCAAAATTTGGGAAGAAAAAAAAAAATTTTTTCAGGTTAACAATTTTTAAAGTATATTAAAAAAAGAAAGAAATATGTCCCAGGGCCAGTTAGACAATATGATGCTTTGACCTTATCTTACCATTCATATAAAATAAATAAAATGAATACTACCCCAAAGCCATAAAAAACGATTTTGTCAGAAAAATAACATCCCATCATTATTTTAAGGATTATGCTAAGATAACAAATAAAATGTTATATTAATTTGCTAAGCCAATCATTAATGCGTTATATAGCCTACATGAAAAAAAGTTATGATTTGTGTTGTCATGGCGGCTATTTCAGCATGCTCACCATTGATCATTTTCACGAAAACTGCCTTTCCTTTCTGATGACATGCTCAACTTCCTTCCTATTGTACTAATAGTGCCAGTACTTTCCTCTCTAGTAAATAAGGTGTACACAAAACAAAATATATTAATATTTACGTATAATATTATGTATATACATGTATGGTAAATGTAGATCAATTTTAATAATATATCTTATAAAATATATTATTGCCTTAGTGCAGCATCTGGATAACTCCTACTAAATTTAATTTGAGTTAATCCGTTACTGCACTAAGGTGATGATATATCCATGGTCAACTCAACACCCTCTTGCCATTTCAACCAGTTCACCTTTCCTATGAAATTTTCCCTTTTTAAATTGTCCTTGACCTTCATTTACACTTTTTTCTCTTTTTTCACAGATATTTGTTGACAATGTTTCAAAAATTTTTCAAAGTTTATGATGGAATAAAAACCCTAAAAAAAACCCAACACTTGAATATACCAGCATAATTAATTTGAAAATTATGCATTACAAACAATGAAGACATTTTAAAAATTTTTGGAATTTTGAAAACTTAAATATTGAGTTTCAAGGCCGTTTCAGGGTCAAGTACATATTTTAATCTGTCAAAAATGAAGTGAAGCTTTGTCTTGAGATACGCAATAACTATTAATGCAGTTTTCTAACAAGAGCGATCAGTAATCACATGTGTCGCCTCATGAAGGCAAATTTTCATGTTGGGACAATTTTGTGACAGACAGACAGACAGACAGACGGACAGTGCACAACTAGACTTGGTACTGATCATTTCCTGTAAAGTTTGGATAAAATTGCACCAGTAGTTTATGAGTAGTAGTCCGGACAAAGCTTTTGCGTATCTGGCAACACACAGAAAAAAACACCTTTTTATCAAAAAGGGCCATAACTCGGGCCAAAAATCATTCAACCGGAAAACCCGTGCAATATGCGCAAGGACTTGAGCTACAGATCAATCCTGTAAAGTTTCATTGAAATTGCATGAGTGGTATAAGAGAAAGTAGTCCGGAACAACTTTTAAAAATAAAAATTATTAAAGGGGCCATAACTCTGACAAAAATCATTGAACCGGAAAATGCTGACAATATGCACAACTAGACTTGGTACTGATCATTCCTGTAAAGTTTGGATGGAATTGCACCAGTAGTTTATGAGAAGTAGTCCGGACAAGCTTTTGTGTATCTGGCAACACACAGAAAAAGAAACACTTTTTATCAAAGGGCCATAACTCGGACAAAAATCATTCAACCGGAAAACCCGTGCAATATGCGCAAGGACTTGAGCTACAGATCAATCCTGTGAAGTTTCATTGAAATTGCATTAGTGGTATAAGAGAAGTAGTCCGGACAAACTTTAAAATTAAAAATTATTAAAGGGCCATAACTCTGACAAAAATCATTGAACCGGAAAATGCTGACAATATGCACAACTAGACTTGGTACTGATCATTCCTGTAAAGTTTGGATGAAATTGCACCAGTAGTTGATGAGGAGTAGTCCGGACAAGTTTTGTGACGGACGCACGGACAGACAGACAGACAGACAGACAGACGGACAGACAGACGACGGAGAAGTGATCCCTATATGTCGCCACTACTCCGTAGAGGCGACACAAAAATAGTGTAAAGACAGAAAACTGAAAGCCAAAATGGGTATAGTTTTTTTATGTAACTTTTAAACTAGTAGTATTTCAAATGTACCTTAAAACATGCAAAAAAAGAAGAATAGTAAATGATCAATTGTTTGAGCTCATAAGCCTACAGGATAATAAATGTTGATCAAAAACACACCTTGAAAATAAGCAATGTTAAAAAATCGTATTACATAGTAACCTTAGTGTAAATGCAAGTTAAATATCATTTATAAAAAACAAAATTGGCATTTAGATTTCAAATGAACACTTGTTAGCTTTATAAGAACACAAAACAAATTAACGAAAAACAAAACGTAGCTTAAGTAGTACACTTTGTTACATTATACAAACATTAAACAAACATGAGCATTGAAATTTAATGACCTCAAAGAACAATATAGTTATAACATCTTACAAAATATTTACAATTCAATAATAATTCTTACAAAATAAAATAAAGTTATAAAAGTAACAATAACCCACAATTACACAGTAATACTCAATATCTAAACCACAAGTTTCAAAATTTGAAAAATTTAGAGCCTGCAACAAAAACTGATCTGCTATTAATAATCCTTGAACATTGAAAACAGCTTTAATTTGGTTAATAAGGAATGTCAAACAAACATATTAATTTAATTAATTGATCTACATAATAAATTATAAGGTAAACAATTACACATGTTACATGTATTACATTTTTAGGAAACAAAAGCAGTGCATAAAAAAATAAATCACAAACAATGCATACATATTAATTTATATATTTTCTTTTTGAATCAATTAAAATGTTTAAGGGCAATTTTTTAAAAATAATCATTTTAAAACCAAAATCAAAAAGAAAAAACCCACATAAAACACACAAAAAAAAACCAAAAATTGTTAAGGATTGTACTGGGTTTTGTTTTACCCCTGGGGGAAGATCAGGGGCACCTTTTTCCTGTCCGGGAAAACATCAACATAAATAAATGCACCCTGTTTTGTGATTTGGTTTCAAAAGCCCATTTTTCCAAAAAAAAATTTTCCAATGTTTCTGAAAAAATTAAAACAAAAGCTCCCATAACTGGGGTGCTCAACTCTTTTTTAGTGCATGAAGTAAAAAAAAGGGGCCATATCTATGAAAAAAGGGTAACTTAGAATATAGGCCCTGTGAGAAAAAAAAATAAAAACCAAGGGGGGGAACCCCAAAGTGTTTTTAAAGAAGTTTTCGAACCATTCTCTTCAGTTGTTTTGGAGATTAGCAAAAGAAAACTTTACCAAAGTGTAACCCTGATGCCACTGCTAAGATAAGTACAATAACCCTCCATATTTTTTAAATAGTTGAGCTAATAGAACATACTTTTTAAGAAGCAAGTAAGGTACAAATGGTTTACAAGTACTTAAGAAAGAGCATCGACACGCGAGGCTAACTGCAAAAATATCAAAAACAAAGAAGATCAAAAAGACTAAACTGACGAAATTGTTATCTAATCTAGTTTCATCATTCTTTGAAAACCTAAAAAAAAACATTTGACAATATACTATCTTTATAATATACAATACATTTGCAGTGAGGGAGTTGTAATGAAAAAGCAACCAGTGTTGGATATTTAAGTACAAGAGATGAAAACCCAGATCATGACATAGTGACACATGATGACTATTGGATTGAATACAGTTTGAATAAGTCTGTAGCAGAACTGAATACCTCCATCAATGAATTTTATTCGTTTTTTTAATGAGTGTAGTCAATACAGGTTTTCACTGGTTCAGAAACAAAGCAAATATTATAGTTAGGCTTACTGTTAGGAAGAAATAGTTGAAAAAAAACTTTATAAAGCTTGAGTGATACTTAAACAAACAAAAACTGCAATATGCATAGAAATCATAGAACTCTAAATAATAAAGAACATAATATAACAAATAAGGTCTTGTATTAACTTTGTTTACTCATAGCACCATGCTATGTCTGCGAATAACCTTTCCCAAGTGCTTTAAAAACACAAAGTTGGACTTTATTCAACACAAAACTTTTAAAGACTATATTAAGGAGAAGCAGGGGGTTTTTACCCCGGAATAATCGGAAACCCCGGAGGAGTTTAGTTTTAAAAATCTGCTTATTATCCTGTTTTAATAATCAATAAGGGGGTTATAAAGTCTGCTCAAAATTTTGGATTTTAACCCAAGGGAAAGGTCAAGGTTTTAAACAATATAAAAAAGCAAAAAAATGACACCATTCAAAGGGGGCCGGTAAAACCCTTAAAGATTTGAGAATAAAAAATTTCAAACTTTTTCTAAAGTAAGGTGAATTACAATTTGAACCTTTTAAAAAACCAATATCAATTTAATTTGAGGGGCCCATTATTGGGGAAAAGGGAAGATAAAAAACCTACAGATTGCCCAAAATAAAGCAGCAAGAAATTACTGTTTTTTCCCCAACCCAAAGTGATTTTATCAAAAAACCAAAACTTTCCCCAAATCAGTCTATGTTTTCCCCCCAAACTCATTTCCATAAATTTTCCTGAAAAGGTGACGTGTTACAGCAGCTTACACTGTTTGGATCAATGCATCACAGCTTCATGAATATCTTTAGAAAACAAAATGCTGTTTGCAATTTTTCTCCTATTTAGTGACAAATTATGTTGTCAAGTGAAAACCAGAAGTAAATAAAAACTTAATTAAATGATATTTTCTGCTAACTTAACTTATACTTTTTTAATACCTTAATATTAAGGGTGGTTAACTACTGTAATATGAACTAACTTCAAAGTCAAATATAAAAAAAGGTGTTTTTATAAGATATTAATTCACAAACTTTTTAATTATGCATAATTATCATAATTGCATAGGTTGATTACGTTAAAAGCATGAAATTGTTATCGGCACTCATGTGATCGTTTCCAAGGCAACCTTGTATAGGGGTACCCGGAGAACGTCAAAACTGGAGAAATTTACCAGTCTCATGCGCCTTCTTTCTTTGGGTATTTTACCTATTAAAATTGCTGGTAACCTTGTGATAAACGCTCCATGACGTGAGGTGTCATGCTGACGTTATATTGTTATGAATTGAACTTTATCGCTTTAGAAACAAGCAAAAGAAACAAGCAATTATCATAGTATTGCAAGCAATCCATAAGTCCCCTACTGGTTAGAACCCCAGCAACATTCTGAAAGGCCATTGGCCATTCACTTATGTCTCTATTTTAAGTAAATTTGTTGAAAAAGTTCTTTTAAAGTGATCACAGGAAACAGTTTTTATGTACAGACAGACAAATGGAATGAAGGACACTCTAAAAGTTTTTTTTTTAAAATATAACATTTTTAAAAGCAAAATTCTTAAAAAGGAGATAACTCTTGAAATAAAGATGCAAGACGTCATACACGATGTGAGTGTAACAAGAACAATTAGTAATGAAGGTGTTGATAATGAGTGGTTATTTTGAATTTGAAGTAATAGAAAGTTAACAGAAAAAAAAAAAAATTTCATGAAAAGTTCAAGGGAGAAAA